ATAAATATTTAGATTAAATTGTGAACTAAGTTTTAAGTAAACTACAAACAGACTTGAGATCTCCTCGAGGGTAATTTTTTATGAAGATGTGAATCACCTGAACAGTTTATGACATTAAAGGGCTGTTTACACGACAACATTTTCAGCCAAAACAAGAAACTTTGTTTACACTATGTTTGCTTACACTACAATGACATTTTCTGTGACTGAAAACACAGACATTTTTGAAAACGCTGTAATTGTTTTGTGAGAAAAACGAAAGTATTTGACAACTGATGACTTCAAGCGCATGCATAGTACATGTTTATGGAGGAGTACATTTAAGGCAAGCAAAAAACAAAAACAACAATGGCAGAGTATGAGGTAGTGTTGTTGATGCGTTTTTTAACTTTTGAAGTGTTTGTTGACTTTTATCAGTAAAGTTTTTAGGTAAATTAAATTTTTTGTTTTTATTTAAGTATATAATAAATAGAGCTGTGCACCCAACTTATCCAAATGCCATTTTCTTTTATTTTATTTGATCTGTTTTTTCACTATTTATTAACTTTTACAGGTATAGCAAAGTCATTTTACAAAGAAATTCAAACAAATATTAATCCCACCCCTACTTTCTAAACAAGATGCAATTAAATTTATCCAAGAGAGAAAAGAAGGAAAATAGATAAATAAAAATATTTAATAAATTAGTAAATAAATTAACAAAAATAAATAAAAACCTGTACAGAATACACATGTATCTTGATAACCCAGTATTGCAAACATTATCCTCAGGTATTTATACAATGTACGTAATCTACATTTGCTTTGCAATTGAAAGACACTAAGATTTACATTGACAGTCTGTAGAGATACTGACATGCTTAGAAAAGAAAATTCTAAATGGGTCCCAAGTTTTAAAAAAGTTCTAGTATTGCCGTTTGTTGTAAACCTGACTTTTGCCAAATTGCATTTTCGACAGACAAAACATTGGTGCATCGCTAATATTAATTAATTTTCTTTTCGGCTTAATCCCTTTATTAATCTGGGGGAATGAACCGCCAACTTATCCAGCACATGTTTTACGCAGCAGATGCCCTTACAGATGCAACCCATCTGTGAAAAACATTCATACACACTCATACACTACAGACAATTTAGCTTACCTAATTCACCTGTACCAAATGTCTTTGGACTGTGGGGGAAACCGGAGGACCTGGAGGTAACCCACGCGAACGCAGGGAGAACATGCAAACTCCACACAGAAACGCCAACTGGCCCAGCCGAGGCTCGAACCAACAACCTTCTTGCTGTGAGGCGACACCACTGCCTACTGCGCCATTGCATCATATATATATATATATATATATATATATATATATATATATATATATATATATATATATATATATAATTATATACATATATATATATATATATATATATATATATATATATATATATATATATATATATATATATATATATACCACTATCACTCTCTATTTTTTTTTTTACTAACCAAGCATATCTATTATATATATATATATTTTTTTATATATATATATGTATATATATACTACCTTAGTTGATTTAATTACATTTTTTAATTAATTCAGTTTTATTTTGAGTTATTTTATTTTGTTTTTTATTTTACATTATTTGCTATATAGTAATAATATTATAGCTTTTATTTGCATAATTTTATAGTGAAAACTGTATTCAGGCATCCTCCTACAGCTTTGAGTAAATATTTATTCATTTATTCATACAGTGGACAGTCTGAAGCGCCTTTCATGCCAGACGCGGAAAATGTTACACTGTGCTATGAAACACATTCATTTCAATGGCTTGTGCCTCACGAAAAAGTTGATTTCTTGATGCACCGACCAAATATTTATAATGTGCAAAATCAAAGTCCGCTTAAAGGACAGGACAGTCATTTCCATGTAGTATGCATGTTGCTGCTGCTTGCAATAGCATAACTGCTGCTATGGCAACACTGGTTTCTGTGCCTCAAAGCGCAATGTCAGATTTGAATTAGAGCAGTTGATTATGTGTGCTCTGAACGTTCTAATCACACCGGTGTGATTGTATGCTTTAGGGACCAGCCAAGGCTGTGATCGTACCCGTGAATGACTAAATAGTTATAATTGTTTCAATAATTAATTATTTTAATAATTATGTAATTATTAAAGTAATTGTACTTTAATTATTATCAATTATTTAAAAATTACTACTAATTATTATGCCAAGTGCATTCTGAAATTTAGTTTACAGTGCAGAATTTTTATTTTGGTGCATGGGTGTACTTATATATTTAAACACACACACACACACACACACACTGCTATAGCACGAACTTTGCTACAATATTATGTACACAGCCTGTACAATATCATCAGACTTTAGCTATTTAAATGTGTATTGGTAAAGCCCAAGTGTCAGGACATGTCAAAATTTCTCCAGAGTCCTAAAACCCCCTTAAACCTTAGAAGGTTAATATATATTCAGATGCCCATAAGTGTTCAGTGTCTCGCATGTGATTTGGACATCAGTGAAGGCAGAAGGCAGAAGAGAAACTGCACCTGTTGCCGCTCTGACAAACGCATAACAAATTGGTTGATTTTTATGAGTCAAGAGGACGTGATTTGTTTGTGAAAGGGCCACGTCTCCTCTGTCTTTCACCCAGAGCGTCGGCTCATCTTCCCCACATAATGAAGAGGGGGAAAATACAATGTTGTTCTTCACATTGTGGCACGGCAGATGTTATTTTCCCTTTAATTTCCACCCAGGGCAGAGAAAATGATAAACAGACTCACACGTGCTCGCACGAACACGCGCACGCACACACCCACACACACACATGCACGCACACACACAAACACACAGAATCAGATTTCTCGTCACATCCGCATTCTCCATGGATCCCTGTGGTTCTGATCTGATTAGTGTGACTGCGCTTTATGTTTACTGTCAATCAAAACGCTCAGAAAACCCAAGGTCAGCTCATCCTTCGTGGATCTATCAGTCAAGTTTTTTTTTTTTCATTTGAAATCATATCACTCTGAAATGATGACTACAGCTTATTTTGGCTTTATTAAAAAAAAAAAAAAAATATATATATATATATATATATATATATATATATATATATATATATATATATATATATATATATATATATATATATATAAATAA